ATAATAAAGTGTCAGATCTTAGGCAGCCCTTGGCCACGCTCCGTGCAAGCTAGCTAAGGAGTAATGACTCTACCCTCCCGCTGCAGGCCTTAGATGCTAAGGCACCGCTACCCCAGACCACTGTCAAGCCCCCCCTTATAGAAAGAGACCCTTCTCAAAGGTAAGTTGCTCCAGTTGCTCAGGGGAAAGATAGAGGCTATGGGGCTGCTTTCACTGAGGACTTCCTGTCCCTCCAAATTTCAGATTTAAGGATTATAACTTTTGGAGGCTACTAAAATGTTTTCAATCTTGATTCTAAGATTTTGGCTGATAATAACTATCAGTCTTGCCTCTCAATTGTAACAAATGTCTATACAAGGTAAGAGAGCACCAGGGGAAACCCTGGAGACAGGATGGAGGTCAGATGAGAGCTCTGTGTTTTCTATTTAACTTTTCCATAAAACTGCTCTTAAAAAAAAAAATCAAATGTATTTTTTAAAAAATTCCGGGAAAGAGGATCAGATGAGAATTACTGGAGGCCTCGGAGTAGTACACCGGGAAAGAGGCCTCGAAGTGGTGCACAGGGGTGGATCATTCTTTCTTCTCCTGTCATCTTTAATTAAACCTTTGGGCTACTTTTCAAAGAAAATGGAGATTTTCCTGGGAGATAATCTTCATGATCATTTATTTTATTGAAAATATCAAAAATAGGCTAGAAATGTAGCAAGATGAGAGCAGCAGTACTACCGCATTCTCTTTTAGCAAAATAGACATGGAAGAAATTACTTAAATGGGCAGAAAATGAGACTACCTCCGGGAACAATGTACGATTGTCACCTTCTGTTGAAAACTGAAGCCAAGAGCCAGAAGCGCATTAAGGGGTCCCGTTTAACATAGCTGAAGAAAGGCACTAAAGAGGAGAGACATGGGTTCCTCATGTCATACAGCATCAGGAGACAAAATTGCCTTATAATAACTGAAGCCTGGCTCGGGGCTACCCTTGATGAATTCAAAACAATGAGCAAGAGGGCGACTCCTCAGGGGCTTCGCTCCAGGCTTCACCATCCCCCGCTTGCCAACTGCAAGCCGGTCTTTAGCTGCACTGACCACATGCACAAGGAGAAAAGTGGAAGAAAATAATGGGGAATCAGGCTGGATAAATTGATGGTAAAAACTCAACTCGGGCCCTCCCTGGTGGCGCAGCGGGTTTTTAAAGCACAGCACTAGGAAGCTAAAGTCACTTCAGCACCAGTTTGATCCCTGAACCAGACCTGACCCACATGGAGCGGCAGACCTCTCCTGACCCGCCCACGGCTCCCCTCAGCAGTGTACTTCATCAGTCGGCCTGTTCTGCTCCCCACTCTGTCTCTGGTGCCTCCTCTCACGACCCCTGCTCCTCCGGCCTGTGCCCCAGTTCTGTATGCATAACTAAATAAAAGTCTAAACAAAATAAATAAATAAATAAAACCCTCAACTCGTTTGTTCCAAAGTGTCAGAAGTCAGAAGTCAGGTGAGTGGCTGAGGGCATTGCTGGGATTCTTTCTTCATCTTGGTGTTGGCTGCATGAGTAGATTCATTTTATAAAAATTCACTCAGCTATATTCCTTTCTATAGAAAATAGACTTCTGTGCCTTTCGGAGAGTTATGTTACACTTTGGGTTTTCTTTTTTTTTTTTTAATTCAAACAATAAATTGGCTGTTAGGTAATTAAGCAAATTTTGGTACATGTTTCTCATTTCTAAGAAAGCCTATACATTGGCTGTGAAAGTGATTTGGAAATCCATTTCCAAAACTGATTAATAAATGAATTCCAGAATGCGGGGAAAGCGGGTAGTCTGCTGAGGAATCTCCTCGAAAGGGCACTATCTACTCAGACACCATATTCTGACAGCTAGTAAAAAACTTAAAATCCTATCTTAGAAGGAGTAATTTTATAATCGTGAAAAAAAATCCAACTAAGTTAATTTATGGTCTTTGCAAAGTGAAAAGGCTCTTCTTACCATTCATCTTTGATTTGCAAAAATTAATCTACTAGCAACACCTACTGAGCATCAACAAACCTACCTAGTCCTTTCAGAGTGAAGTCACCTGAAACAGGATTCAGCTGAAAAGAATCAGACGGTGGTGTTTTCTGTACTATGTACTAGTCCTACCTCTGTTGGCATGAAAGCCATCCTCACCCGGAGATGCCCCACCTAGACTGGGCACACCTGGCTGGGGGTGTGGCAGGGGGGCGGCACGGAGGAGAGAAGACCCGGGAGGTCATCCTCACATACACCCAACCAGGTATGGCTGCAACGTACAATTTACAACAGTCCCACAGCGGCTCTGCAGAGCCACAGCTCAGCTCAGCAGAGAAGGGTGAACAGGCCCAAGGCCCACCTGTAGCTAAGGTCTCCTCAGAAACCCCAGCCTCACTTGCATAGTAATTCTTGCTTGCACTTTCTTTCGAGTCTGTTTGGGATGCATTAAACATTTATTTACAAAAACACTGAGTGTGTTCGCTTTAATGACTAAGTAATCACGCCTCATTAATTTCAATAGCAATTCCTTTTGTCTTATGAAGCTGTGCCCTTGGAGAGTGCCTAGGAAATACATTACCCTCCATCAGAGACTGTACCAAAGAAAAGATGAACCAATCTATTCATAAGGGGACTGAGGACAAGCAAAGCCAACTTTGTGAGCTTTTGAAATGTGTGATTTTTAACACATTCACTGGCACCACCACATAAAGAGAAGCCAGTGCCATAGTTTATGAAATAGTTTACAAAAACAAAGAATCATCATTGAGGAAGTAATTTGACAAGATCATCAGTAAGTCGCTAGGAGATGAGATTCACATCAACTTTGTATCAGTCAGGTTAGAACAGTGATCACAGAGATGCAGGACAGTGTGTCAGCTGGCTGATACAGTCAGGGAACTACCAATAGATAAATTTCCTTTGGGTGTTAGCCAATCCCAAAATTACAAAACCTTCCAGAACAACACACTGGATATGGGCTGAAGGTGTTTCATTTTGCTTTGTTGTTGTTCTTGTTTTTTTTAAAGATTTATTTACTTATACATACAGAGCTGGGGTACAGGCCAGAGGTGCAGGGGCGGTGAGAGGCTTCACCAGAGACAGAGTGGGGAGCAGAATAGGCAGATCGACGAAGTACACTGCTGAGGGGAGCAGCGGACGAGTCAGGAGAGGTCTGCCGCGCCATGTGGTCACCTCTGGGGCAGGCGGGGATCGAACGCATGCGGAAGTGGCCCCAGCGTCTTGGGGCGCTGCCTTAAAAACCCGCACCAACAAGGGAGGGCCCTTTTTTTTTTTTTTTTTTTTAATCCAGCCTTGAACACTATTTTTCTCTAGTCTCTAGGCAATATTGTAATGAGTGTCGAAACGTGCACGTCAGAGAAGCACCTCCAATGACATCATGTAGGGGCTTCTCAGCATCGCAAGAGTGTCTTGTACATTACTTATCAGGATCCACCACCCTGTTTTTGAGAAAGCTACACAGTACAGTGTAAAAAAAAGGAAAACGCACATTAGGGGAAGAACATGCAGCTTCGATGCTGCTAGACAGAGGTGCCCCAAAGGGGCACAGCACAGCAACAGCACAGCAAGAGGCCGCAACCCTGACAAAGGCCTGGCTTCCCTGCAGATGCGTTAATAGCTGAGGCAAATTACCCATCCTCTCACCAATTCCAGCATAAATCACACTGAATTTGCCTGGCAGTACTGTGTCCTTAGAGCACTAAAGGTCTTTTAAGAATAAACACAGTAGCATGGCTCGTTGATGTTGAAGAAAATTTAAAGGTGACTAGAAATTGCAAATTACACTTTAGGCTAATTATTAAATTTACAAAGTATTCCCATGCTTCTTTTCTACAAATACGTGCCAGTCCTGTGCAAGAACATGGAATTCAGAGGAGTCTAATGTGTGCTTTTTTTTAAAAAAGCAGTTTCACTTTTCACACTATGGGAAACCAGGAGAGCCCCTCCCTGGTGGCAGAGGACACAGCACTGCAAGCTGGCCACGGTCACTTCAGTGCATTTTGACTCCTGGCCCAGAGGTGACCACATGGTGCAGCCTCACCCGCTGCTCCCCTCAGCAGCGTACTTTGGTGATCTGCCTGTCCTGCTCCCCACTCTGTCTCTGGTGAAGCCTCTCACCACCTCTGGCCTGTACCCCAGTTCTGAATGCATAAATAAAAAAATCTTTAAAGAAAAATAAAAGAGAAAAGAAACCCGAAGACGGCCCAACCTGCACCTCCTTCCAACAAGGAGGCCAGAGAGCTCGGGGCCGCTAACGCCCCGGTTTAGTTTCCAGGCTCGCTGTGTGCACTCATGCCACTCTCTTCCCCCCAATAAAGGGACACTGATTTTTGTTCTGCTGTGCTCTCCTCCCTAAAGAGTGCCAGGAAACCCACAGAAAGTGCCACTTAGCTAAAGCAGACATTAAAGACTCAGGCTGAACAGACCACAGGATGCCAGTGCACACAGCTGGGTCTCCCTGAGAATCAGGCCCCTAAATGCAAAGCAGAGCTACTTGGCAGGTTTCACGCAGGAAGCTCTTAGCCTGGTTTTTGTATTTTATGTTGAGTTTGATATTGGACATAGCGCTAAGTAGGTAACATGTAAATTTATTTTCAAAATTGGGGGGTGGGGGGAGGCACAATTATTTTTTCAGTTTCAGGTAGAAAACCTGTCTCCTTCGACTCTCACACAGGAATTGGGGCTGGACTCCCGGGCAGAGAGAGGGGCTAGCTGAGCCTTCCTGCGGAGCAGAGGGCTGGATACTCAGGTCCCAAAGTCTAGGTTTTGTGTTGCAAACTGAAGCTCTTCCCAGTTTATGACTTCCTTCTTCTCATTCTAGAATATTTTTTTTAAGAAAGTGCTTCCCTGGTTTCTTTGCTTTTGCCTGACGTGACTGCAATTCTGACCTGATCCCACAGGGGTGGTTAAAGCTTAAACCAGGAGGAACGTGTCTCACATAAGCTGCTTGCCTTTTCTTTCCTTCTAGAAATTAAAAACCAGTAAGTACTGTACCTGAACCTCCTCAAAAATAGTTGCTTGCTCCTGATTCGATAATGTGGTCAGGTGCTTCTGTAGTTCTAGTTTAGTTTTGGAAGAATTCATTCCTATTAAGAAAAACAGAGAGAGGTGTGAAAACACTGTCAAGTTAGAAAGCAGAGCGACTGTGGGCCACATACACTTTTATTATGTTCTTACCCCACTTCGGGCTTTTGAGGTTTTATAGAAATTCCAATCAATAACAGCACTGGTCACAATGACAAGGACAAGTGACATCTCTGGGTCATGCCCTCATGCTAGGGACTGTCTCCACCCCGAGGCCCGTGTCATCTCCTTCTCAGAACTAGCAGGTGAACTGGTTCCTCAGCCCCATTTTACAGACCTGGAGAGCTCACGCATCAGCAAAGGCCCTGGGACGCTCCCCCAGGTCTGTGCGATTCCAAATTACCCTTTCACACCTCGTCCATGTTAAAGTACCTCACACCATCAGAGTTCTGTGCCGTGAAGTGATAAATTCTCCCCAGTAGTAATGTACGGACATCTATTTCGAGAAACACCTACCATACCACGGGGAAAGTTACTGAAAGCTCCTCCCCAGAGCACCGGTTCCTTAAAATTAACTCATGTGCTTTATAGCTTCACCTTCGCCGCTACTTGTTTTATTAATCATCATAACATCGCCTCGTTACCATGACGGTGACGTTTTGAAAATAAAGCCACAATCTGAGAGCCAGTTACAATCAAATTCTTTTTAGAAAGTTCTGTCTTCACACAAGTCCTTGAGCTCAGACCCGCTGTGGCATTTTCTTGGGCCCACAGTCACATGGGATGAAAGACTGAGAAATAAAGGGTCGGCTGAGCTAACTACCTGGAGATTGCCTGCTGCCAGGTATTTTCTCCCCAGGGCAGCTGTGTCCTCATCCTCAGCCACTCCCCCGGCGTTTCAGAGGGGTGACTCACACAGGGCAGACGCCTGGCCTTGGCCTTATTCTCCAGGGGAGCATAGTGATGTACCTACGCAGCTAAGGATGGCCAAGAGGGAGCACCCTGGAACCAGGAAGAGAGCTTGGACATCAGGCCTGTTTGCAGATGAGTTTGCTGAGATCTAGAAGAGCAGGGTCATTTGTTTTCTTTTTTTTTTTTAACAACACTGCAAATGTTCTTTTTTTTTTTAAGATTTCTTTATCTATGCATACAGAACTGGGGTGCAGGCCAGAGGTGCAGGGGCGGTGAGAGGATTCACAAGAGACAGAGTGGGGAGCAGAGCAGGCAGACAAACGAAATACACTGCTGAGGGGAGCAGTAGGTGAGTCAGGAGAGATCTGCCACACCTGGTGGGTTACATCTGGGCCGGGTATCGAACTCGTGAAATGGCTGCGTCTAGCTTCATAGTGCATGCTTTAACCCACTGCACCACCAGGGAGGGCCCGGAATGACTTTTTTTAATGAAACATTCACATGTGGACTGTTTTTTAATCAAACATTCACAAATTCAAAGAAGAGATAGAGTAATTATACACTTCTGACAGTCTCAGACAAAACCAGGAGTCACAGCAATTGTTCATATCCAGCAGTTATGAAGCGACCCTGTGGCAAGTTGTACCCTTGTCTTCAGATAAGGTCAGTTCATTTGACCTTCTTGCACCATCTGCAAGCACAGGAGGTCAACTCAGTTCCCGAGCCTGGCCAGTCCTGGTGGTTTCTGCAGCAAGAAGTCTGGGCCCTCCTTGGTGGCACAAGGTTAAAGCCTCAGAGCTGTCAAGCTAACTGCAGCCAGGGAGTGATCCACATGGGTCAGCAGACCTATCCTGCCCTGCCCACTGCCTCCCTCAGCAGTGTATTTCAGCAGATCCACCTGTTCTGTTCCCCACTCTGTCTCTGGTGAATCCTCTCAACCCCTCCCACCTCTGACCTACACTCCAGTCCCTGAATGCATAAGTAAAAATAAAATCTTGAAAAAAGAAAAGCAGGACTGGTTCTCCCTGGTGACGCAGTGGGTTAAGATGCATCACGCAAGTGAGCCACAGCTTCTTCAGTGAGTTCAATTCCCGCCCTGGAGATGACCCACATGGCGCAGCAGACCTCTCCTGACCCTCCCTCAGCAGTGTACTTCGTTGATCTGCCTATTCTGCTCCCCACTCTGTCTCTGGCAAACCCTGTCACCAGCCCTGCACCTCTGGCTTATACCCCAGTTCTGCATGCATGCATAAATAAATCTTAAAAAAGAAAAAACAGGGCTGCACTGCCCACATGGTGCCCCACAGCTTTATTTATATGGAAAGAGAGAGGGGCATGGAACAAGTTAGAAAAAGGCAACCAGAGTCAAGGGCATTCTCAGAGTCAAGGGCCTTCTCAACTACAGTCCCCCCAGCCTGGTTGTCAGGGAGCTGCCTTCACACTGGGCTGAAAAGGCTCCATCAGAGGGAGGCCTGATGGATGGCTTCGCTTTGCCAGAGGCACATTTGCTTACAGAGCAAAAGGAGAAAGTTCAGCTTTTTTCTTGTTAATGGAAGTAGAACTCATTCTAGTAATTCCCCAAAATGCTCCTCTGAACTCTGTAAGCAAAATACAGCATAAAACTAGCAAAGTGGCGCAGGATAAACACAAACTCGATACAGCGACCCCTCTCGGTCGCGGGTGGGGCTGCACGGAGGGAGAGGCCCCAGCACTGGGTTCCCGCGGGGAGGACCCAGGACCCAGGGCCCAGGGTCGACAGGCCGAGGTCCACGAAGAAACACAGTCTCTTGGTCCTGCTCTGTGTGGCTTTGCCACCGGCCCTCCCAAAGGGCATGGGGGTTTTGGCAGACTGTAATTTCCGACTAGTGCTACTATTCTGGGGCCATTTATTTATTTATGCATACAGAACTGAGGTACAGGCCAGAGGTGCAGGGGCGGTGAGAAGATTCACCAGAGACAGAGTGGGGAGCAAAACAGGCTGACTGACGAAGTAGACTGCTGAGGGGAGCAGCTGGGCGGGTCAGGAGCGGTCTGCCGCCATGCGGTCACCTCCTCGGCGGGGATCGAACTCGCGCTCAAGTGGCTTTAGCTTCTTAGAGCTGTGCTTTAGCCTGCTGCACCACCTGGGAGGGCCCCAGAGGCTGAATTTTAAGAAATGCTTTTTTCTATGTTCTAGGAATATAAAAAGGCAAAAAGCAAAGGCCCTAACTATTCATAAAATAAGTGACCAATTCCCTTTCAAATGAGGCCTCTAGGCATGCAACGAGCTCTACTTCAGAACGGCTTCCCAAGCCTGTAAGCAAAGCGGTGTCCTTCTGCAGCCTTTCTGGTGCTAAGAGTCAGTTTCCCACCAGCAAGGTTTTCTGTTCCTCTTGGATTTTATCAGAAAGGAGATTAGTTTAATGGTAATTCCAAAACTGTAGCAGCAAAATCCCTGATTTAAACTTTTCAGCTATTGCTTTTAGAAAACTAAGCCAGACCCGAGAAAGATTTATCAGCTGGAACCCTGGAATCCGTCCAGCCCCGCAGTGCCCCATCAGCTTTCTCTTCGAGGCCAAAGTCATTCTTGGCGTCTTAATAAGCTCTTCGGGGACCTTTCCGTCATCGTTTACCTTATCTTGACAACAAGCAGGGAAAGAGTTAGTGATCCTCTCAGACGGGATCACGAGTTAAAGCACAACTTTTCTTGTTCCCAGATAAACTTTGTATGTCAGCAAATAGTAACAACTAAGAAAACAAAGTTGAAAATATTTGGATTCCTTTTCAAAAGCACTTTAATGCCTTCAAAAGAATCTTTAAAGACGATGGGCGTCAATTTATGTCACTTTAAAAGGGAGGTGAGATACTACTTCGTACCCCTCGGGATAGTTAGCAAGGAACTAGAGAGCAAAAGTGTTGGTGAAACTGGAGGGAAGAGAATCCCTGCACCTGGTTGGTGTAGGATACACGATGGCAGAGTCGGCCATGTGGAGCTACAGTATGGTAGTTCTCCCCAAATTAAGCGGTTGTCACATAAACCAGCAGTACTACTTCTGGGCCCAGTCCCAAAAGAACTGAAAGCAGAAACCTGAAGTTACTTGTATGTGAAGGGTCAACGCAGCACCATTCACAAGAAATAACGTAAAGCGACATCCCCTGGAATATTATTCACCCTTCAAAAGGAGTGAAATTCTGATAGGTGCTAAAACATGAATGAACTGAGGAGACATGCTGATGAATAAACTAGACACAAAAGGCCAATACCACGTGATTCCACTTCTACGTGGTCCCCAGCGCAGTCACATTTGCGGTCAGAAAGCAGAACCCCAGGGGCCTCGGGGGCAGGGAAGGTGGGGAGCCAGTGTCTGTGAGAAGAGGCAGTGCCAGAGACAGGTGACGGTGATGGCTGCACAGCAATATGAATGGCCTTAACGTCACTGAGCTGCTCATTTTTAACCAGTTAAAGACAAAATGGAATGTTCTGTACTTTTACCCAATGATTTTAAAAAGGGGAAACAGATCTAGTCATGGTAACACGGGTTGTTTGAATCCTGTGGGGCCCCTCAAAATTACACCCACACAAAAAAGGCAGACATCGGATGGGCATCCTGCCGCAGCGTCCTCCTCCCTGAACTTCCCCTTCCCCGAGGTCCTCCCACAGCCCCGGGACAGAGCCTCTGTCTTCCCAGAGACGGCTTCCCCACCCTGGTTCAGGAGGCATCTCCCCACTCCCTTCTGACTCATGTCTGAATCTACTCTGCCTCCGCAACCGTGCCAAAGCAAAGACTGTGGCTCCGGCAGCGGCTCCTCTCAGCGGACAGCTCCTTCCCGGGCCCCTCGGCGGACAGGCGCCCTCGCTGACTCCTGGACTCGAGGTAGGCCAGTGGACTCCTCGACTTCTCTACTCCGCCAAAGAGGAGACACAAAAGCGTGAAAGAAGAGTTCCCTGCCCCCCAACAGATGAGGTTAAGGACTAAACAGATAATAACATATGTGAAAGAAGGCTTTTAGCACGGTACCTGGTGCTTCCGAAGGATTACACAAATCATCTGTTTGACAGACTCTCCCTAAATCTAGTTTCTGGACATTGCAGTCCATACGCACAGTGCCCGCCTTCTTTTTAATTGAAGTAACCCGTTACGGTGCAGACTTGTGTCGTTCAAGTCAACATGTATCTATACGCCATTCAACGCACCACAAAAAGGCCAATTCTATCCTTGACCGTATCAACCTGGTACCCCTTCCTTTTTCTTTCTGGTAACCACAAACTGATCTTATAAGCTAAATGTTTGTTTTTGTTTTTATTTACGTTCATCTGTTTGTTTTCTCTACATACCGCACACGAGGGAAGTCATTCAGCGTTTGTGTTTCTCCCTCTGGCTTAGTTCGCTAAACCTAAGCCCCTCCAGGTCACAGCGACTACTGCTTTGATTCCTTCTCCTAGACTCTTTACTAGATAACCTGTCTTTTGCAGTCTCCAGGCCACGAAAGCTGTTCTAGCAAAGGTTACTGATGACCTTCAGTTGAGAAAACTACTGAAAATTCTGCAGCTCTGATCCCAGGAGCTCTCTGTCGCAGTCCACACAGGTGACCGTTCACACAACCTGGAGAAGTGATAGACCTGGGTCTGGCAGGCTTTGCTTCCCCATCTCCTCCCCTATCCTCAGAGTTCCCTGGAGGGGAGATGGTGGAAAGGGGGTTATGGATTTTATATTCACATCCTGAGCACCCAGCACAGTGCCTAACACACATGGGACGTTCACCCATCTGTCACTGACACAGATGCCTACTGGGCCAGGTCTTACAGCAAATGCAGCTCATCTACCGTTCTCGGACCTTGACCTCCCTGCCCGCTGCGACAGCAGGCAGGGCCTGCACTCACCCTCGATGCGCTCACACAGTTTGTGCAGGCTCTGCAGAGGGCAGCCCTCACACAGCTGGGCCGGCGCTCTGGCTGTCTGCTGCACTGCAGCCACCGTGAAAGCTTGTTTCAGCGTCATCATAATTTCATCAACCTGATTCAAGAAAAGAAAGATTACAGCTAGCAAAATACCCATGGAAACTGAGCGGTGCTGAGATTCCCGGGCTCTCCGGAAAGGCTTTGTATTTAAAGATTGTTCTCCACGATTAGTCACAGGGCAATGGATGGTAACTAAGAACTGCTGGGAGCACAAGAAACATAACCAGGGGCTCAGAGCTCTTCAAAGAGCAGGTAAAAAATGCAAAAACTCAACTCCTAGGATCAAAGTCCAGAATGATACATTAGTGGTGCCAGAGCAGAGGGGAAAGTGAACAGCTTCTTCGAAAGTAACAGAAATGGAAAATGCACACCCAAGTAAGACTCCGGTGTGGGCCAGCTAGTTATTAAATGCTAGCAGTGAGCTTAGCTGGTTTGCTAAAGAAAGCAAAGTGAGATTAGAACCTTGTTTACATGGAATTTCAGGGAGAGAACCGCTCCCCTCTCTTACCAGAGCTTCATTCGCACATTGAAACACGTAACAGACAAAGTGAAAGCCTCTGCCCCCGGAGGTCTCTCGGCAGATGAATCCAAAGTGGTCCACGTGTCTAATACCCTGTGCAGGCAAGAGGGAGAACGGGTGAGCAGCATCCAAAGGAGGAAGACTGGCAGCCGAAGCTTTACACAGGGCAATCTGAAAGGTCTCAATGAATTACTTTCTTGGACAAGACAGTATCTAAACACATCTTCAAGTGTTAATGAGGATTAGCATCCTTCTACTGACACGTTACTCTGGGCTAAAGCCACAATAAGTGACTCTAGTAACTGCAGAGTTGTTTTTTGTTTCCTGTTTTCTTTTTTAAGCAGACAATCAAACGTGTTTATTTGGTTGGAGAACAGCACATAAGTATAGAACAGGTACCAAGGAAAGCAGAGAATTTGGATTTGGAAGTAGAGGATTTTGATTTGGAAAAATCAAAAGCAGACCAAGAGATTAATGAAGAAACACAAGTAAACACATATAATACACATGCATGTACACACAGATACAGGTTATCTCTAAAGTACGTGTGTTCCTAAAAAAACACTCAAACTGGTCTGATGAATGAATAAAATTTAGACAGAGTAGAGAAACTTTTAAGCAAGATACTAAAGCCAAGTTTCTACCACAGTTTCCCAACAGCTCTTCCGTTTAACATGTAAACTCATTTTTGAAATATAGCTAAGAGGCACCTTCATATAGACAAAGATGTCAACCATAGATATTAATCTGTCAGCGTCTCCTGAAAACACCAGCATGCAGAGATAAGCATTGATAGTTCAGGTGATCACATAAACTTATAAACTGCACCCTTTGGGATCTAAAACTGTCACATGAAAAAGCAAACATTTAACAGTTCTATTTCCATAGGAATAGCACAAGTCAAGACCATCTCTCTACCGGATGATCTCAATTTCCAGGCAAATATTCCCCAATGAATGGGCAGTCGCTGACAAATTCTAGCATTTACTTCACTGTCCTTCAACAACAAACCTCTATATATGTTAGAGGTTACTTCTCAGGGGAATTTAATTTGGAAAAACACTTCCTTTGTAAGATGGTTTCTAATTCAAGCTATTAAGAACAGTGTTTTCAAATTTTGGGAAAAAAATCCCTCGTGAATCCTTATGTAAATCCGGTTACAAATGCACCAGCAATGAAATGTTCATTTTATCTTCTTTTTTTTTTTTAATTTAATATTTATTCATACAGAACTGGGGTACAGGCCAGAGTTGCAGGGGCAGTGAGAGGATTCACCAGAGACAGAGTGGGGAGCAGAATAGGCAGATGGACGAAGTACACTGCTGAGGGGAGCAGCGGGCGGGTCAGGAGAGGTCTGCCGCGCCATGTGGTCACCTCCGGGGCAGGCAGGGATCGAACTCATGGGGAAGTGGCTTTCAATTCTTAGTGCTGCGCTTTAACCCACTGCACCACCAGAGAGGGCCCATTTTATCTTCTTGACGATAAAGAAAAGACAGAATTTAAGTGGCCTCAAATTTGTTAGGAAGATCACTAGTAAAACTGACAAGAGTCTCCAAAATTCTCTCAGAAACACACCCAGGAGATTATCAAGAAAGAACTCAAGAGGCACTATGTTCTGATAAAGCATCTTCAAGGTTACTTATCTTGTCAAGTTATCTACTGAAAATTTTTGTGTTTGTATATGTCCAAATGTAACTATAAAACTATAAAACAATCATACACACACAGACATACATTCCTGGGAATCACAACTATAGAACATTACTATCTATAATTGAAAATAAGAAAAAAAATCTATTTTCTGTAGAAGGTTATTGTTGCTAAGGCTAAATTTCTTAATTTCATAATTAAATTTATATTTTGCCTTAAAGTGTACCAAAGCAAAGAAAAAAGGACAAGATTACAAATCAAGTTTTCAGAAAGCATACAACTTGTAACTTTAGCACAACTGTTAAATGACACTAGAAGAATCATTCAAAAAATTAAGGTGCAATTGAGCCATTAACCCATTCTCTATTTACCTGAGAGCAAAAGGATATCTCCTTAAAATTTTTCTCCAGCGCTACTTTTTTGGTGTCAGGACTGATGAGGTAAACTTCAGACTGGCCAATCTTAAAAGACAGAAAAGAAAAAAAAAGCTCGTTTTTCATGTAAGGCAAATTCAAATTTATGACACAAACTTTCTTATTTCATGACCTATGAAAACTAAGAATAACTTCCTACATAATTCTGACTGTCTCCCTGTAGAACAGCACCTCTCAGGCTATTACTTTATCCTATGGATTTCAAGTAGCACAAGACAACTATTAGACATTCACCAATGAAGGACAAGAGTTTTCTTGAGTCGGAAGAACCCAAATGCCCAAAAGTTAGCCACCAAATCTCAGATTCCACATCCTGCCCCCTCCCACGAGAAGGGAGGTTCCTACCAAAGCGAATCTTAGATGAAAACAGCAACCTCTCTTTTAAATCTTCCCATAACACTTTCCAATGATTATTTTTAGCTGGAAAGTCTTTTTAAATTACGGTTAAATGAATCTACCATTTGTTAGCGTGTACTTCGTGTTAGGAGACATTGCATGACTGAGTTCAGAACATTAGCATAAATGAACAGTCTCACTGATTTGGGTCTGCACGATGGATTTCCATTACAGCAGGACTGTGGGACAGTCAGCAGCTCCGTTGACTGTACTGCGTCCTCCCTCAGTGGTCTTCTCACTTGCTGTTCTCTACCCGACGCTTAGCCTTGGATGCACTGAAAACTCTGCTCAATGAAAATCACTGTCTCAAAGAAGCCTCCCTCAGTTCTCCAGACGCCGTCACAGCATCCACTACTTCGCAGCATTTATCACAAAGCAACATGCCCGACTGCCTATCTCTTCATTGGAAGCTGAGTTCCACTCAGGCAGAGCCCAGGCCTGTCTTATCTGCTGCTGTATTTTTAGCATGAGGCAAGGATCCCTATACACTGAGCACCTTCCCCAGTGATACTGCGAGATTTTGCCTACTAGAGATCACAGATTCCGGGACCAGTGTAATATGACTACAGCACTGTCTAGGGTAGCTGCAGAGGAGGAAGTTGGCTTTCGGTGCCCTCGGGCCACCATCCTGCATACCAAGCTGCACACACACACACCCACAGAGCAGCCAGCTTCCTTCCCCCTGGCTTCATACTCCCCTGAGATGGGCTCCAAAGTGAGACACGACATTGAAGCTAAGTTTGCCCTTTTTAGAATTTCAATCAGCCTCAAAGGCAAAAAGAGAGGAGGCGTTCAAGGGGCAATGAGTCCCCCATATCCTCAGAGGCTGCTGCTCTGCTGGAACATGACTAAGTCCCATCAGCTTGGACCCCGGAGGCCCGAGACCACAGGAGCCCAGGTCAGCATGGAACCAGTAACCCTGGTGGCGTGGTCAGCCTGCCTGTTCACTTCTTTTCTGGCACATGGCTCAGGTCATGTTTTTTCTTGTAGGAAAGTGAGTAAGTGTTTAGGTGAATTCGTATTTCAATATGGGTTAAACGTCAATGATCATGTATATGCAAATTCGATGACTCTGATGAACAGATTTCTAAAGATTAATAAAAATGAAAAAGAGAAGGAACTTTCCATAGGAATTTTGTTGAAATATTTAGACCAGTCTGTATTTTTCAAAATACTCTGAGGGTCACTTTTGCATGTATTAACTGTTCATTCCATATTGAAAAGATGTCTTTATAACCAATGGGGGAGATAACAATTATACAAGGATAGAAGACGGGTTCTATTTCTTTCCCCCCCTGGTGAATTTAAAGACTTAGGGCTACAGAAAGAATTTTATCCTGAGAAAATATTTACTCCATTTAAGGAATACATGGCTTCACATAAATCCATAAGCAATTTCCAAAGCCACTTTCCTCAATAAAGCCGATTTTCTGTGGAGTCTCAGACAGCAAATGAGCATGAAGGTTGATAGTATTTTACCGTGAAGAGCATAGTTCGATTTTCCTCAATATCAGTTGGCTGCACAATATTGTGTCCACTGAGTAGGTGATTCTCGATGTCATTTTCCTCAAAAGAGCTAAAGAAACTGCTACTTCGCAGGCTTCCATCTTGAAATTCCCTCTTAAAGGCCAAGGACCGCAGCCCCGGCTGGGAGAAGGATTTGCGCATCGGCCTCTGGCTCTGCTCCCCATTCCCCACCGGCTGGAGCACAGCTCGGAACTTATCCGTGAAGGAAAGCCCTCCCCCGGCGGGGTTGGTGGTTTCCGAATTCTGGGAGCCCAGATCAAACTCGACCTTCCTGCTGCAGCTGATGTGGTTGAACTTCTCGATGCACTCGTCGATCAGGGCTGGCGGGGCCTTCTTGTGCGCCACCGTCACGCGGCCACAGAAGAGCACCTCGAACTTCTTGGCAAACGTGTCGTCAAACTCCGACGGGCAGTGGAGCTCTTCCTGGCGGGCAATCTTCCCGGCCTGCCGGATGGAGCTGATGATCTCAGGCACCTGCAGAGAGAGGAAAGCATGTTATCTGGAACAGGCAGGGGGTGCTATCGTGGCTGGCACACACGGGGCAGGAACCCCTGGGGGCGGGGGGAGAACGCCACGCTGCCCCCACCCGGTCCCCGCTGCCGCGCAGTCCATCCACCGCGCTGGAGGAGGGGCCCGCGGGAACCCGGACCATGGATGTCTCTCTACAGGAGGGAAATGAGCAACTCAGACTCCACACAGGGAACGGAGTATTTCAGACCTGCTAGACAGGTCATGGGCTCACGACACCCTGCAACCTCTTACGCACACAGCCTGATGTGCACACCCCAGCCCCTGCTGTCAAACCCAGGCTGGTCCCCTCTAAAGCCAAAGTCCTTCCTGGAAAAGCCCTCATCTCCCGAGGAGGCCTAAAAAGCCCAGTCTCCACTGTGCCCCCACCCCAAACATTCAGGAGTTATTCTACATTTCATGGCAGTGTATCCTGGGAAGGTCTCCATAGTAGATGATGGGATGAAGAGGTGGAAATTCTAAGATTTCTTCCAATCCGAACATCATTCTCTTCCATCAATAGCCAATTTACTGCTGCAGCCTGGGGAACAGAGAGCCAGGAAGTGTTCAATAAGCCGGGGTGCCCAGGCCTCAGACATGATCAGAGCCACACACTGGGGTGCCCTCCCAGAGGGGACTCTGAGCCTTTGGGGTCAGTGTAAAGCCACATTTGAGAAGCAACACAGAGTCGGTGGTGCCCTCCCTGCTGCTTATCAGCACCTCCACCAAGACCCTTCAGAGGACAGCAGACGTGAGACACAGCCACAGTGACCGCAGGCTCCTGCCCATCCGGAGACGAAGGGCGTCATTTCTGTCATGACCTAACAGTCAAAAGCCATTGTTTACTTTTCCAAAATGTAAGAAAACTCATTTTAAAGCCCAATACCTATGGGTCCAATGTCTTTTTCACAGTACAGAGAGCAAACACCTAAAAAAACCTTCTCGACTCAGGTCAAAATTCAACACAGAGAGTAAAGGGAGGTGGCCGCAGCTCACTCCAAAGGCATATGCCTTAGTCTGTGTTCAAGGCAGAATCTCCGGGACACGAAGACTGTACGCTCTGTGATTTCATACCAAGCCCACCTTAAAAAGACAGTTGCGGGCCCTCCCTGATGGCTCAATGGATTAGGACACAGCACTGCAGGGCGCTGCAAGCTGGCCACAGCCACTTCCAGTGTGAGTTCGATCCCGGCCCTGGAGGTGACCCACATGGCGCAGCAGACCTCTCCTGACCTCCCCGCTGCTCCCCTCAGCAGTGTACTTTGTCGATCTGCCTGTTCTGCTCCCCACTCTGTCTCTGATGAATCTTCTTGCCACCCCTGAGCCTCTGGCCTGTACCCCAGAGGTACCTGGGGTACCCTGTTCTGTGTGTCTAAATAAATAAAGAAAACTTTAAAAGGTAAATTAAATAAAAAAAAAGGGGGGGGAGACAGTCTCTACCCTAAAGATTATGACACATATGTCTTTGCAAGGTACTGTACAGGGATTAGACAAGTGATTCCTGAAGCATCAGATCTAAATGATACTAAATAAACAGAAATTGCTGCACATGTCAACCCTTGTATTTGCTTACGCAGTGACTTGCCCACTGTTGGTCAATATAAAATACATGATGGAGAGAAGCAGGAGGCAAAAAGTCTATTTCATTCACACTTTTGTCAATAGGGCAGTATGGGACCTTAGCAAATATAACTGTAGTTTCTCTTTTAAAAAGCTTTTAACATTTTTCAGATAAAAATAACTTCTGTGAGGTGAACAATAATAATTTTCTCAAAGGGGAAAAAAAAACCTGGTTCATACAATAAGGAATGTTGTGCTTTTCTGAGCAGCTATGTTAAATTACTTAATACAAAATCGCATGAGTCCTCCCTACTATTAACCCCACTTCTTTCTGTACAGGAAATGCTAGGCCTACTTGGCCTTTTGGGGCTTTTTAAAATATCTGATGTTTCTATATACAGGGTCTTCAGCTGAATTTGAAGTAATTATGTCTTTCATTATGAACCATCAAAAGGGAAGAAAACGTGTAAACTGACACGTGTTTACGCTGCCTCAAACAAATGGCAGAAACACAAGGGTTGAAAAATGGAGAAATCGGTTGTTCTGTTCTTTCAGGGTCCAAAGAGGTTGAAAAACACACTTCACAGGCTCCAGCTGTTCTGCTAACCGCCTCTCTCTCCTATAGCTTCAGTCAGAACCACTGCAACACATCCTTCATCAAAGACCGGTGCTTCACTCTCCCTGCTCTGATGATTTGTGTATAATATGGGTATAAAGGAGATAACTGGGATTAAGGAGGAGGGGGATTCCTGGAATGCTGAGTGGAAAAAATATAACAATTTCACAATATTTGAAGGCACAGTACCAGACACAGTTTCAACAATATATTGCAAACAGTGAAAAATCTGATGTCCTTTTTTCACAAAGATGTATTTATTAATGCAGAAGAACTGGGGTGTAGGCCAGAGGTGCAGGGGTGGGGAGTGATGGGGGGGGTGGTGAGAGGATACTGGAGACAGAGTAGGAAGAACAGACAGATCGAGAGAAATACACTGCTGAGTGGAGGGAGATAGGAGAGGCCTGCTGCAACTAACATGTGTGTGCTAAGCCTGAACCCCTAGGCTGCCAGAGAGGCCCAAAAGAAAAGAGGACTTTGCAGGCGGCCATTCAACAATGTGTGATGGGCGCCCTCTCTTTGCATATACTGCCAAGACCTCTGGTTGTGTTTTAGGATATTTGCAGCAGTTGCATGTTGTTAGGGGGAGAGAGGTAAGGAGGAGAAATTGTGACAGGGAACCGAGTTACTTAGTAGAATGAAACACATTCCAGGAAGAGAGAGGAAGAGGCCAAGGGTAAAGTCAAAGATGCCAAGGGAAGAAGTCCCTCAAGAAAGCAGAGGCGGTGACTTGAGAAGAAGGATGGAGATAAATACACTAAAGCTGACAGTTTACAGGGATATGTAAAAATATTTACTGCAATTATGTAGGCCCCTTGAGGGTAAATATGCTGAGGTCAGTGCTGTTTATTCCCACAGATACGATCTAGGGACCTTTAACACAAACCTTTCTTTAGTTACAGCAGTAAAAGACACGTCACTTCTGATTGCAGATAATCAGATAATATAAATCAAAAATAAGTAAAACAAAAACAAGGATTTGAGGAACATTTTACTGGAAGAGATTCCCTAAAGGTTTGGTACTTGGTTTTATTCCCTTTTACACTGGGAAAATGTTAGCTAATTAAAATGAATCATCAATAATCAAGAAATCATCAAAATTTACTAAACCGCTCTTTTGTTGACCTATTTGAGCTTTTAGCAAAGTTCAATTTTCAAGTAAATCTGCATTTATTTCACAACTGAAACAAGTTTTAGTACTCATGCACTTACAGACATACAGGTTAGTTTAAAACTTCTGCAGAAAGAAATGAATATTGTTTTATAAATAGCTAGAAAGTGATAGTCTAGGAGAATAAGAATTAATTCATCTCTGTAAATAAAGCTCTTGTTTAATTAAGCATTTGGGTCAACTTTCAAGGATTTAAGGATTTTAAGGGTTATAAAGATTGCGAGTGTTATATTCATAAGGAGTTAAGAGCCCCTGAAATACTACTTAGAATAAAAATCCATTCTACTTTACAGCTAGACTTTTTTCTGATGGCTAGTAACAAATATCAAATGAATATAAAAAGCCTTGTATTTGTGCTTAAAAATCTAGCATTTTTCCTGCCATTTAACATCAAAACATTTTGAAACTGCAAAAAAATCCGTGTTTTGTCCCACTTTGGGGAGTTAAAGCAAGCAAAAATTCAAAAAAGAATCTATTCTGCATCACTGTCATAGTTAAAGTAAACCGAGAAAATAATTTAATTAAGTATTTCTTCCCGGTATATCACATCCTGAATTTCATATAAAATATTTAAGAAATTCCCTCTAGCCCGTGTTTACCAGTTAAGTTATTTAAAGAGAAAAACACACCAGTCTGACACTATTTAGAAAAGACACATGTGAGTGGCCATATTATGCAACAAGGCCATGTTGGGAATTGTCGAGGTGAGTTTAAACATACAGGTGTGAATACACATCATGTACAGTGAGTAAGAGGTGATTCTCTGACCTCGTGAGGGTCGGAAACCAGGAAGTGAGAGACATGTCTGAATCTGTGATCTCCAGTAAAACAGGCCACGCACAACCGTGAGCAAAGCAACTCACTACCTGCCTCCGAGAGCAGGCCTGGGGGCTCTGACTTCTGCCAAGGAGTGAGACGCTTTTTGAAAAATGCTAGTTAAAAGTCGAGACATTTTTTGGCTTGTTTTTAAGATTTATTTATTCATACAGAACTGGGGTACAGGCCAGAGGTGCAGGTGCGGTGAGAAGAATCACCAGAGCAGGACAGGCAGATGGACTGAAACACACTGCTGAGGGGAGCACCGAGGGTTGGTCAGGAGAGGTCTGCCACGCCACGTGGCTCACCTCAGGAGCAGGGATCAAACTCATGCTGAAGTGGCTTTAGCTTCTTAGTGCTGTGCTTTAACCCGCTGCGCCACCAGGGAGGGCCCAAAAGTCAAGACATTTTGATCTCTCGGTATAAATACTGATGGAAGTCATGGCATAAGTCACCAACTGCTGAACTTGGGCATACACATCCCCAAAGTCCCACCCTCTTGACTGAATGCATTGACTACGCACTGATTCACAACTCAAATGTGACTACACAATGTTGCTGCCAGGATTTTGAAAAACTGAAGTCTCGCCCCACACCAGTCTAGATGAAGCAGCCTGTCTGGAGGCATCTGCAGTTTTCAGAAGCACCCCTGAACTCAGCCCACCGGCATATCCAATCACCCCATTTACCACATGATCAGTTCAAGGTTAGCCAACAACTCAACCAGACCAAAAAATGGTAGGCCACGTGCTTAATGGAGCTGGTAGATAACATGAAACTTGGCTGTTACTTCAGACCAGTGAT